GTTCTGGCACATTCCATTAGTAAATTTTAGTATTTATACTAAAACACTTGATAAACTAAAAATAAATACAAAATTTAGGCAGTTGATGGTGATGTTAGGGCCTAAGTGTGTATCTTAAGTTCAAGATTAAGGTTACAAATTAGCATAGTTTATATCTTATTGAAAGGAAAGTAAACCAGTAGTGCAAACAGGTTAAAGTCTTGATAGTTCATTGAAATTGCTCTCCTACTTTAAACAATTACAAGAGACAGCATCTCTGTTTGGATGATGTGTATGTTAGTTTTGATAGAGGCAATAAATCCTTTTATAGTTATGGTACTACGGAGATTATACCATTTGAATTCTGCTTCCATGGTTCTCATATCATTTTTTAAGCAAATGGTCTGAGGCTCAGATAACAGAAACATATTTATCTTACAACGACCCTCACTCTCACATAGCTAAAACTGATGTCTTTAAGATTTTTCCCAATTATTGTTAATTTCCCAGCATTCAAGGCTGGGACAATTTGGGTACAGCTTTAGTTGAACCAGTTAGGAAATCAGTAGCATGTTTTGAACTCTCAAATTCTGGTTTGTTATGAATCGGATATGGATATGTTAGATATTAGATAACATAGCAGAAATTCTTTGAAAGTAGTAGAAGATGTTTTATCAATGAAAAAATAACATGAAGTGTTTTCAAATATGACAATAAGCAAATGAATCTTCAGTTTAAATTTAATGCCAGAACTGATTGGATTTTATCAATGAAAATTCCTTGTAAGTTCCACCTAAAGAATTTTTGTTGCTTTTGTTCCAAATATTTTAAGATCCTAGCTGGGCATGGTGGCTCACGCCTATAATCCTAGCATTCTGCTCAGCCTGAGCCAGAGCAAGACCTCCTCTTAGAAAGAGGCCGGGTGTTGTAGCAGGTGCCTGTAGTCTCAGTTATTTGGGGAGGCTGAGGCAAGAGAATCATTTGAGCCCAAGAGTTTGAAGTTGCTGTGAGATATGGCATGACGGCAGTCTTGACAAAGTAAAACTGTCTCAAAAAAAAAAAAAAAAGTTCAAGATCGTTACCTTGAATAAGTTGTTGATACTTTGATCATTGGTAATCAGGTGTTCTTGATTGTTTAGGAATGAGCCTAAACATACTGTTTAGAATCTCTATTGCTTATTTTTCATGTTAAATTTTTTTTCAGAATTAATTGGCAAGGCATGGAAGGAAGCATACTTATAAACGTTTTAAACAAATCAGATAAAGGTAAAATCGTTCTGCAAAGAAGTGGTTGTTTCATAAAGTTACTTTTAAATAGCAGAATACAAGAAATTAATTTGGCTATAATTTATCTATAAGGAATCTATTTAAGGAGCATTTTTCTTATCATCCTTCCATTAAAGAGACAGTATCTTTGTTACCACTTTAAAAAATTCAGAAACCAAGGGGAAAAAATGATGTTCATTTAGCTTTCTTATGTTGTCCAGATAAGCTTGTAATCAGTTATAGGTGTTATTTTTCAGAAATATGTTCCTTGAATTCCAATGGAAGTTTGTCACAAGAAGTCAAGAGATAACACAGCTTTTTGTTGTTGTTGTTGTTGTTGTTGTTGAGACAGTCTCAAGCTGTCACCCTGGGTAGAGTGCTGCACAGCAACCTCAGACTCTCGGGCTTAAGCAATTCTCTTGCCTCAACCTCCAGAGTAGCTGGAACTACAGGCGCCCACCACAATGCCAGGCTATTTTTTGGTTGTAGTTACCATTGTTTGGCAGGCCGGGCTGGATTTGAACGCATCAGTTCTGGTGTATGAGGCTGGCGCCATAGCTGCTGAGCTGCAGGCGCTGAGCCGACATACACTGCTTTTTTAATAACAGATTTTGTATGTGCTTCATTTATAAATAAGCATTATAATGTATTTCTATGTTACATTCTCTCCTTTACCCCCACCTCCCTTAGAAAGTTAGAAACACGATAGATCTACTTTTATTAAAAGAAAAATTATTGCATGGAGCTGGAAAGCTCTGTTGGAGCTTTTGCATACTCCTGTGCAAGTTGTGCCCTGTGCAGGGACACCTGGCTGAGGTAGTGAGTGGGATCTGAAATCCAGCCCACACTGCGTTCTTCTAGCTGTGTGCCTTGAATGAGGAAGCATTCACCTGGAGGAAAAGTTGCCTTTTTTCCAGTTCACACAGAGATACAATATGGGCTAGCGGCTGTACCTTTTTTCTTTAAAGGCATGTCAAAATACTGAACTTTATCAAATTGTCTCAGGTCTCATTCTAAAGTACAGAAATTGGAGAGGTCTTTGTTTTGATAGCCTTTTGGCTGTGGTGGGCATCATTAATTCAAATCCTTGGTACTTTTCTCCTCCCCGAGGTCTTGGTGCAGCTGTAACTTTCTCTTTGAGGCTTTCCCAACCTCTGTGTTTAAAATTGCAACCCTATTCCCCAGCATTCTTTATCTTCCCTCCCTTTTAATTTTCCTCCCTCATGTTTATCACCATTTGACATGCTGTGCTTTAATTAATTCTCTGTGTTCTGATGAACAGTTAGGGATTTCCTGTTTTGTTTTCTGCTGTATTTCCACTTCCTGTAATGATGTCAGGCTCATAGTAGGACACTCAATTTATTGCATGAATAACAGACAGTTTCCAGTATGTTCTGTAATATTCTGCAAAGTTTCCCACTCTAATCATGGATGCTTTGCTAGGTAGTAAGTGATGATAATAGAGGAACAATTGAGTTCATGGGCCCTGGAGATAGACTGCTGAGGCTCAGATCCCTCCACCATTAGAGACCCCTCTTTGTCTGTTTTTTTACCTTTAAATGGACATATTAATAGTAGCCACAGGATAAAGTTGTGAGGTTTAGATGAGCTAATAAGTACTTTGAACATGCAAAGCCCACAGACAATACTCAGTGCTATTAATTTGGTGAGCGCTAATTTAATCTAAAGAAAGGCGGGCAAAGGTGTATTATACTCAATCTGTACATGTTTATCAAGGGCTGACCATTGTTCCAGACATTATGATGACACAGAAGATAAGACATGGTTACTACTTAAAGAAGCCGATAGTCTAATTGGGACACCAGTAATGTAGACATCATGTTTCATTAGGTCACTTTTTATTTGAGGGAAAGAAAAACAGAGTGTTATGTGTGTCTCATAGTAGCCATCTTCTGATTTACTCATTAAGTCTGTTAATGTTGTTATCAACAACAGCTTGAGTTCACAGTTTAATTGGGGGAGAAAACAGTTCAGTATCATCATGGCTTTTTTTTTTTTTTTTTTTTTTGA